ACACACACACACACACACACACACACACACACACACACACACACACACACACACACACACACACAGATCATGCAGCGACGCATGGCACTCAACAACTTGGCACAGGCCGGTATGAAGATGCTGAACAGCCACGCGCAAGTGGAGCAAATGCGCACCGATCTCGACCGCGTGAACCTCAAGGCCATCAAACGCGAATCCGCATGGGTCACAGACTGCCCCGACGCGTTTGTGGACAGGATCTTTGCGGAGCTGCTCGAGTTTCTGGACCAGCCGCGCGGCTTGAGCTACGCCTCGCACTGGCTCGACAGTATCGTCAAGCGCACGTTCAAGTCCATGGTCGGCATTGACTTTGATGCCATGAGCGTGGACAGCGGCTCGCACGACCACAGCTCGCCGTCCTACGAGCACCTGCCGCCTCTGGACTCTTGCCCACCCGCACCCGCGCTGCCTGCCATGAGCGCAGGGCGGGGCACAACCCACCAAAGCAAGCAGCAGGTGCAGGCAGCCACGGCCGAGGAGCAGCAACACACCAAGGCCGCAGCGTCCCAACAGAAGCAGCAGCCAGGAACACAGCCCAGCAAGAGCACATCGTCAAGCAACAAGGACGGCGTCGACACATCTGCCGCTGCCAAGCAGAGCAGTGGCGCCTCTGCTGACAGTGCTGGCGCTGGCACATCATCGCCCACGCGCAGCACACCCCCGCCCAGCGAGCAGCAACAACAGCAGAATGCACTGGAGGCTCAAAAGACCCCCACTGTCCCCTCACAAGCTGGGGCCAAGGGCTCTTCTGCTGCGGAGGATGCACGCAGGAAGCTGACGCTTGGCCCGGCGTCGACGCCATCAGAACGCCCTGATGCCGCACAGGACAGCGATTCAAGCAAAAACACCGAAGTGGAACGCATGGAGGTGTGTTTCCAACGCTCACTTTCATTGAGAGGCTGTCATCGGTTGTTCTGTTGTTGTTATCATTTGAGTGCTGTCATTTGCTTGTAGCCTGGACCACGTGTTAAAGCGCATGTTTTGTTGCCTGCGCGCACGAACCACGCTGTGGATCAGCAGTGACTCACAATACCTCTGTTTTGTTTTGCTTTGTTGGCATTCTGTTACCCCCCTCGGCCTCTGTCACAACACATCAGTTGTTGCACAAGACAGCAAGGAAGCTGCTGCAAGCGTGGACGTTCTACTCCTCCCAGATTCTGCGTGAACTCACCATGAAGAGCGCCCCGTCGTTCGGTGAGACAGCCTGCTGCGTACTTTGTCTGTGTGTGTGTGTGTTCGTTGTTGCGTGTACTCGTTCCTGTGCTTACTGTTGTGCTTGTTGTTCTGTGCTGTCGTTGTTGTGCTTCATGTGCACCGTTTGCAGTACAAACAGTCCTTCTCACTCACCACCACTCTACCACCACGCATGTGCTCTCGCTGATGACCAACCAGGCTCGTGCAATGTGCTCAAGCTGCTGATGGACGAGTACATGTACTACCTGATCCACACGCGCGTCACCCACCCGCACAAGGAGATTGTCCACCCAGACATCATTGTGCACACAACCGGCACAGGCACTGCCACCGATACGAGCTCACAAACAGCATAACACATACGCACACGTACTGCAACAGTGCGATGATGCCTGCATTTGTTTTCGTGTTTGAGGAAGCGACTCTTGACACTTGGTCCGACTTGTTTTTTTTTTCTTTCTGTTGGTCGACAAGCGCACGGTGTGGATGTGCGCATGTGTTGCCACCAATCGTGCACCCTCACATTGCTGGCGGTGATGTTATAACCCTTCCCCCCCCCCCCAACGCGTTGGTCGCCTAGCCGTTGTTTGCCTGTTTGTTTACACTTCACACGTAATGACCCGTGTGCGTTATCAGCGGTGGTGCACCTCTTCTCTATTGCCCATGTTCACATTAACACCCCACCCACGCAAGCAAGTAAATGACGCGAATGAATGACCGAACAAACTAGGCAAAGGCGCAAGACAAAGATGCAAGCGACACACACACACACACACACACACACGATACGCACACGACCACATGACAGCCGCGCTGGGTGTGTGCTGTGGACTTCAGCTGCTGGCAGCCACTACTTCTTTGCACTTCTCGATCAGCACACCCTTCTTCATCTTGGTTGTCGTCTGTATGTATGTGTGTGTGTGTGTGCGAGGGTGGGATGGTGACACACGCGTGAGTGCAGCAAGGAAGGCTGGAAGGGGTGTGCTCAATGGAGTTGTGGATGAGAAATGGTTGTGCGACAGTCACACTGCATAATGCACGCATGAACACAACGATGGCATGTTCATGTGCACTCGAATGTACCCACGCACTCGCCCGCTTTGACGCACTCGTTTGCGAATACGTGTGTGCGTGTGCGTTTGCGTGTGCGCGCGTGCGTGCGTGTGTGATCTTGTGAAAGATCTCAGGAACAAACCTTGACATTGTGCTTGCTGAGCCAGAGTCGAAGCACTTCCGTGTTGAGAGCCGCAAAGCCGCTCTTCTCCACAACGGTGCTCATGTTCAACGAAGCCACCTGTACATCGCAGATGTACGTGCGGGTGTCGTGCATGTGAGGCGACACGCCCCAAAAAAAAAACCAAGGAATGGCCACGACTGCCTGCCTGTAGGGCTGAGCAGCCATGGCACACTCCTGGCTAGTTTTCATGTCAAACAAAGCAAGGAGGAGGTCCACTCGCCAGACGAACTACTCACACCGCCCATCATAACCACGCCCCTTGCACAGGCATCACAGCCGCACGAACCTTTGCCTCGGCCTCCTTTCGCATGGTGGCAACGTCCTTGCGCTTGCGTGTCGATGTCGACTTCTTTGCAGCAGCGCCGTCGTCCTTCTTGGCCTTCTTCGTGGCGTTCCCGCCCTCCCCCACGCCCTCGCCACCCTGCTGGCTCGCAACAGCATCCAGACTGGGCAACAGCTGCTTGGCCACTGCTGGCGATGGTGGTGATGACGACAGGACTTTGCCCGCTCTCGGTGATGATACAGTCGCCTCCTTGCTGGTGTCGCCCCTTGTCTTGTCGTCGTCATCCCCCAACAACTTTGCCTTATCCTTGTCGTCCTTCTTCTTGTTCTTGTTCTTCTTCGTCGTCGTCTTCTTCGTCGTCGCCTTCTTCGTGCTTGGTCGTGCCGTTGTCGTCTTCTTGCTGCGTTGCGCATCAGGTGATGCAGCCGATGTGTCACCTTTGTCGCCACCGGCGGTATCTTGCTGTGTCGCCGCCGTCTCACCAGTCACTGCATCCTCGCCATCTGCATCACCGCCGCCCTGACGCTTCTCGTCTCGCCTCTTCTCGCCGTTCCCCCCACCACTGCTACTGTGTTGCTTGCTCGCTTGTCCTCGCTTCGTCGCTGATGCGGTCTTCGTTTGCTTCCTCTTCGGCTGCGGCTTCTTCGCTGGCACCTCGCTATCCACCAGCTCTGCCGTGCCATCCTTCGTCGCTTGGGTGTGGACGCCCGCAGAGTCGCCTCCACTATGTGCAGATGCCTCCTTGGTGGCTGGTGTCTCGCTCGCGTTATCGGCACTGCCAGCTGCTGTTGATGGTCTTCGTTTGCAATCTTTTGGCTTGGGCTTCGTCTTGGTCTTGGCGTTGCTCGAAGGGGTGGATGGGGTGCTTGATGTTGATGATGATGACGAGCTCGTGCTCTGGCGCTTCTTCGTGGACTTTGATGACGCCTTCTTTGCTTTCGCTGCTGTTGTCACTGCTATCACCTTCTGCGCCACCACACGAACACGCGAGAGAGTGACAGCACACGTGTGTGAATATGTTGTATGGTGTGTGGGTATGAAGGATGGTGTGTGGGTGTGGTTTGGCGAATGATCATGTGTGTGTGGTTTGGCGAATGATCATGTGTGTGTGTTTGTGTGCGTGTGTTCATGCGTGTGTGTGTGTGCGTGTGTGTGTGTGCGCGCTGCAGACAAGCAACGCAAAGAGGATGCGTGTGGACAAAGCAAGAAAGCACAAGTCGGATGAGTTGTGACGCACTGGTCGCCTGGCTTTGAACGAAGGCACGATGGGTGGAGGACGAGGGGTCTTCCCGATGGCTCCCTCGTTGCTCGTATCCTGACCCAGGGCTGTGGGCGAGGAAGAAGACGAGAGCGGCATTGTCTCCGTATTCTTGTCATCATCGACAAGTTTGGCCGCGAAGGAGTCGCGTAGGTAGCGGCGAAGTGAACACTCTTCCTCTGGCCACAGTCCTTGTACATGGGCTGGCTTGTTCACTGCGAACGTGGTGTGTGTATGCGTGAGTGGGTGTCGTGCGTGCAAGTATCGACATTCACGGTGCTTCTTATGGGTGATTGCATTGTATTGTGCGACCCATCTGCCGTGTCGCATCATCGACGCATTGCACTGCGCTGCGCGTTGCTTGGCCATCAACACCCAGCAGCACGTCTGCAGGTCGCACCGGTCTCGACGGTCGCTATGCCTTTGATGACGGCTTTCAGCTCCTCTTTCATCTCCTGCAGGTATGAACCCCTGAGCACATGATCATTGGTGGCGTTGGTGGGTGAGTGAGTTGAGTGAGTGAGTTGAGTGAGTGAGTGAGTGAGTGAGTGAGTGGCTTGTGGTTGTTCAATATTGAGAGGAGATGGTGCGGATCGCGCACGCTGGAATGCTGAACACATACCCAAAGCGGTCTTGGCGCCCTTCAATGATCGGTGCTGGCCGAGACGTAAACAGCAGGCTGCCAGGCACCGCTTGTGCAGAAGCAGCACCCGGAAACACCACCAGGCCAACAAACCCTGGGTCTGGCAACATCTTGTTCCACTGTCCACAGGCGTGTTTGTGTGCGTGTGTGTGTGGGTGCGTGTGTGGGTGCGTGTGTGTGCGTGTATGTGTGTTTACGTGTGGGTGTGGGAGAAGCCAGTTATATGGGCTCTGCGTGCAGTACGTGCCCTGTGCCTTTGCCCTTGATCCTGTCGTATGAATGACATGGTGCAATGAGACAGTACAAGCAGCAGTGATCTGCTTGCATGCGTAGGTGTGTGTGTGTGTATGCGTGTACTTTCGTACCACGGTGGTGTAAGTGCTGAGGAAGGAGGTCTTGACAGCGTGGGGAGGCAAGATGCGGTCGAGCTTGCACGGTGTTCCATACGGTAGCATGAAGCAGCAAATCTGCAAGAGGGAGGTAAAGAGAAAGGTGGCAGCGTATGGAAGTGGTTGTTAGGGTTGGTACGTGCGTGAGACGAGTAGTTGTGAATGCAGTCATGGCCAATCTGCTGTTGTGGGCGTAGGTGCTGCGTGGTGAGCGCAAAACGGAACGAAGCCCGAGTCATGCACGAACAGGAGGAGAAGGAGGTGGAAGCACGTCCTCTAGTTCTTGTTGTGAATGTTGTGCCATACCTCTTCGATGGGATGTGCTTGATCTTGGGCCAAGAACGACTCTCGCTGGCTTGCTGTCGGCAACAGTGCTTCGAGCTTCTCAATACAAGTGTACGAATGTGAGTGCGTGAGTATGTTTACGCTTATATGTGTGTGAGTATGTGTATGTTGAAGCTTGTATGTGTATGTGTATGTGTATGTGGATGTGGATGTGTGAATAGACGTTGGGTGGCGGGGGGAGCTTGTGTGTGCGTGGTCTATCGTACCTGAAGTGGCTGTGTTGCAACACGGCAGCCTCTTGTGTGAATGAAGAAGACGTCGTCGTCGCCATCGTCCTCATCATCCCCAAGGTCATCGACGGACATGATGCAGGCTTGCAGGGCGTGGTCGCGCAAAGGGCGTGAGCGCAGCATGCCAGGAACAGCAGTGATGTCAGAGTACATAGAGAACTGTCTACAACTTGCGCACATGCACACACACACACACACACACACACACACAACTAACGTACGCGCACACACATGCACGCATCAGCCAACCTGGAAGTGGGGGTCCTTGGGTGGCGATGGTCTCCTTGAGCAACCATGTCCAGTTTGCGTGGTCGCCACATGTCCAGAACCGAGAGTGGACCAAGATCCGCAGGTGCAGTGCTGCGAGAATCTGCTGCAGACTTGGATCCAGTGGCTTACCGACGAGCGCCATGCCCGCCTTTGCAATTCGCTTTCGAAACCGTGCATCTTTGAACACACTCGTCTTTGCTGCAAACAACAGCACGCACTGTCCATGCTGGCTCTCAATTGTGGGCAGCCCAAGCTGTACAACGTCGTCCTTCAGCAGAGCTGATATGCCATGGGAGAGTGTGTGTATGTGTGTGTGCGCACGTGAGCGAGCGAGCAAGCGAGCGAGAGAGAGAGAGAGAGAGTGTGTGTGTGTGCACGCGCGCGCGCGTGTGTGTCTGTCTGTCTGTGCGTGTGTGTGTGTGAGGCCACGATGCAGCAAGGGCGGCAAGATCGAGTGTCTGCGTCAACAGCAGCACGTAAACCTGAATCAAAAACGATGAAACAAGCGACCCGCATACCACTCACTGCTGATTGCACGAAGCTCGAAGCCAAGCGAGAGCTGGTCGCCCAGCCAAGGGCAGGGGCTCCCGTGTGGTATCTTTGCATAGTGCGCGACAAACCCTGAGGTCAGTCTCACGCGTAGCTTCTCCATCCTATGCAGAGGAGAGAGGTGGAGCGTGTATGTGTTGGCTGCACAAGCTAGGAGCATCGACGACGACGTGAACACTGGCTGGACCAGCGACAAGATGAATGCACCAGCAACATCGCCAGCGGCCGCAGTCCCACCCCCAGCCAACGCTGTAGCAAAGCAACAACACGCGTTACATGTTTCGCTTTCCCGCCATTCTGTGTTTGGCCATGTCTTGTGTGATGTTGTGAGATGTGATTTTCCCGCCAAAATGGCCTGTACACGCAGGCTGCTTGTGTCTATGAGTGAGTGAGTGAGTGAGTGAGCGAGTGAGTGAGTGAGTGAGTGAGTGAGTGATTGTGCCAAACAGCCATCTGTCTCCGGTTGTCTCAGAGTGGGTCGTTTATTGACATCAGGCAAGCAAAAGAACAGCAAATACAACAACGGGGGTGCTATGTACAGCAGACACGTGACTAACACGGCCATTGTGCAGCAGAGGAGCGGGAACGGGAGAGCGGCCTCAAAGAGCCAAGAAAGACGGTGCTAGGAAGAAGGATACGCAGGGCGGACAGCAGACGGTGTAGCCGAGAGACGAAAACAACGCTTAAGTGTACACAACAGCGTGTACACAACAGCATGCACACAACAGCGTGTACACAACAGCATGCACACAACAGCGTGCACACTTGCACACTCACACACACACAGGCAGAGGTGGCTCATCTACGGGGTCTCTTAGGGCCATGCTTGTTAATCATGGATGCAATGGATCTTTGCTGTGAGTCTGGCAGCTTCTCAAACGAGCGCAGGCACTTGTCAAGCGCAACACGCTGCTCCTGCGCGACCGTGTCCCATTCCTACAGCCAACAGCCAATGGAACAAAGCGTGAGCCTGTTGGCGGGCCAACAAAGGGCTGACATGTGCTGAGCAAGGGGGCCACCCACAGCAACAATAACGGGCGACGTCAAGGACGCATGCAATCGGTGACATACACGGGTGACAGTGCCTCAGCACGCACCTTGAGGTAGTCGATGCAAGACTCAAGCTTCTCTGCATCGTCCTTGGACAGCGAATCCACGACATGCGCACGCTCCTCGTCAAGCTGAACAAACGCGAGAGAGGGTGTGCACGTGTAAGCGCGTGAGTGTGCAAGTGTGGGCTGCATATAAGCTGCATAAGCTGCATGAGCCGCATAAGCTGCATAAGCTGCATAAGCTCACCACCACGACCACGACCACGACCACCACCACCACCACGACCACGACCACCACCACACCCTGCAAGTGGACCTACTTCCTCAGTCAGGGCCTGAACGCGCTCGGTGGTGTCCTGGTCATCGATGAAGATGGACTCGAATTGCTGCACCACCATCTTCGTGCGGAACTTCGCCTCCGACTGCAAACACGCGTACGCGAAAGCGACACATGAGCACGCCAAAAACAAAGGCAATGGCAAGGAGAACCACCCACGTACCAACAAACACACACACACACACACACACACGCATACACACACACACACACACACACACACTCACATAAACCCAAGCAATCGCAATGGCACAATGCACCCTGGCGTGCTGCCCCACCCCTCTTTGTGTCGACAACGCACCGTGCGACGAGCTTCAAAGCCTTCATCGCGCACAATGTCATCAAAGGTGGGCGTGGTTCTCTCCACTTTGACATCGGATGGGCGCTTGAAGTGGCCGGGAACACCCTGCGCCGACGAACAAGACGAGCACCTGTTACATTGCACGTGCAAGGCAACAAAGGGACAAGCGAGCACACAGACAGACAAACAGAACGACAGACAGACGGACGGACGGACAGACAGAGATACGCGACCAAGACACGCACCGTTTCTGCCCACGTCTTCATGTGGTCCTTGCGGCCATACATGATGTCGCACACGGGAGGGCGGTGCCGCACATATTTGCTCAGCAGCTCTGTTAGGCTGGGCCTATGGACATCACACGCAAGGCAACAATGATGTGCACGGTCAGCAACGCACAGCGCGCAAGCACACGGGCATAGGAACGAATAGAACACAGAGCAGGGCACACAAACGGGCACAGACAGGTGAACAGGTGCACAGGCAGACAGACAGACAGACAGACAAACAGACACACACACACACAGACACACAGACACACACACACACCGCCCCCGCAATGCAAGCGTACTCTGCGAGCTGCTGTGCCGCAGTTGCGGCCATGGCGGCGGCGGCCTTCTTGGCGGAGTGTGCAGAGCGAGGCCCCTTTGATTTTCCGCCAGAGGAGGCACTCTTGCCCGCGCCGTCCTTGTCCTTGTCCTTGCGCGATGACCCGCGCCCAGACGACTGCTTTGACCGCTTCGGCTCCTTGTCTGCGCACAGACAGACACAGGAGTGTGTGTTGAAGGGAGGGGGGGGGGTTACAAGTGAGACAGCGACGTAGGTGAAAGGTTGAGTGTGCGTGTGTGAGTGGAAGGGAGGAGAAGCAGTAGTGGTGGTGGTGGTGGCGGCGGTATGGCGTTGACAACAATGACACACACACACACACACACACACACACACACACACACACACACACAGGGTGTGCCGATTGAGGACGTACTCGAGCGAGGCTTGCGGCTGGCCCTGTGAAGACAGAAGAAGCAGAAGATAAAGAAAATATGCAGGCGACAGAACAAACGTGAGAAGAGCCACAAACATGTTGAGACCAGGCAAGTGTAAGTGGCAGCATACATGCTTTCATGAATCATGCAATCAACGCACTTTGAGCGCTTGGCTGGCGGCTCTGGCTTTGTTGTTGACAGGTCGGGGATGTTGGTTGCCAGCTCATCTTCCTGCGTTTGGATGCTCCCCTGTGTGACACACACGAGAGCGGAGCACACACAGACACACAGACACACACAGACACACAGACACACGCACACCACACACACACACACACACGCCGCGAGCAAGATGAGATGCGGTCAAGGAAAAAAGTTGATTGAACTGAGTTAGTGGCGGCGTTGTGATTGATATCATGCTTGGATCAGGCGAAACGCTGTGATGGCAATAAGAGACAACAGCAGCTGAGCGAAGGTGTTTGAAGCGTGAAAACAAACCTTGCGGGGCGTCTTCTTCTGCATCTGCAGAGCAGGCGCACCAATGCACCAGCATGACGTGACGTGATGGTCCAAGTATTGGAGGACGGGCAGGGTGCAGAGACACGCGCGCAAGGAAAGGCGGTGAGGTGAGGCTCAGCGCAGAGCCACAGGACAGCACCCGCAGTGCAATGGACAAGACCGCGGCCGTTGATGTAGCCAGACAAGACAGGCACACATGTTTGTCAGACACAGACAGACAGACACAAGAGTACAGACAAGTAAACACACACACACACACACACACACACACAGACAAGTAACCTCCCCCCACACACGCACGCACTCACACAGACACACAGAGACACGAACGAATGACGGACCTGTGGCATGACTGCGAAGCGGCTCATATCCTCCTGGGACATCATGGCAGCCGGGTTGATGTGCTGGGGCATGCCGCCCGTCATGGCCGGCAGGCTCGTAGAGTGTGCCGGCAGATACGGCTGGCGCACGTGGTTTGTGGTGATTGGGAAGAGTATGCATCGCGGAAGGTCAGGGTGAGAAGGGCCACCGTATGTACACGCAGGGCGAGAGTGGGGCTGCATGCGAGAGCACGAGCACACCGAGAGCAAAAGGAGCGGGAGGTTGCGACGTGTTGAACTGCGCGCCGTCACACTCACCATGGAGCCGCTGAACGGAATCATTTGCGGCATGGACATCATTGCTGCAGGCGCACACATCAGGAGCACGCAGTGTGCATGTGAACATGTGAGCACAGACAGGTGTGATGGAAACAGAACCATTCAACAGAATCCAGCGAATTGCATCGGAGAGGTGAATAAACACGCGCATTGGCACTTACGGTGGAAGGAGACATAAGCGGGTCGTCCGGCGGCCTGGGCGCTCATGTATGACTGGACAAAGAAGCGCGGCAAAGCAGGTCGAGTGGTGTGAATTGGGGTGGGTTGGGGTGGTGGGGGCGGGGGACAATGCACGGCCCAGCACCGAAAAAAACCACCACTGAGGTGCGTGGGCTCTGTGTTTGTGTTGTAGATCATGACCGACTTACCGACATCATGGCGTTTGTGACGCCAGCTTCAGTGCCTATGTTGTTGTTGTTGTTGTTGTTTGTCGGGTGTGTTTGTGAAGGTGTGAAGGTGAGAGGTGGCGCATGACGACAGCAACCACCACCACAACAACAACAACACACACAGAAACACACAGACACACACAGAAACACACAGACACACAGATACAGACACACACACACAGACATAGGCAGAGATTCATGCATGTGGTCGAGGGGATAGGCAGGGAAGGCGTTCGTTCGGGCTGTGCAAACCTTGAGGGAACTGCTGGGAAGGGAACATGAGACGCGGGTGGCCCATGAGCGCTGGTGCCACGCCATAGAGGCGGGAGTAGTCGCTGGTGGTGACATTCTGCGGCGCCTGGTGCTGCTGCTGCGGCTGCTGCTGACCTTGCTGAGCCATGACAGCTGGACGTGATCAGGGCAGCAGGCTTCCTTGCTTGCTTGGCGGGCTGGGTCGGCCAAACGAAAGGATGATGACCTTGGTGCGGGGTGGTGTGGTGGTGTGTGAGTGGAAGACTGGCTGCTGGCCTTGCGCTGGAACGCGATAAGCGACTCTCTGGTTTCGTTGGGGAGTGCAAAATGATTCGATGCATACAATCAGAAAACCGCCGCACGTCAAATTTGACAGGGAATGACAAAAACCGCGCAGTCAGCAAAAAAAGGCAAGTGTTTGTGTGACGTCATCAGTTCTTGTTTTCGTGTTTACACTGTTGTTCCTCTTGTATTGTATCTGATGGTTCGACATGGCACTAGAACACACCCACACACACACACACACGAACACAGAGACAGACACACACTCACACAGACACACACACGAACACAGAGACAGACATACAGACACGCACGCACAGAAACAGTGCCGAGAACGGCAATGCTAGTGACATTTTCACATCAAGCGTTCATCTTGCGTGCTTGCTTGGTTGTCACTCCTGACTGGTGGACGGCTGCTCCTCATCATCGCCGTCCTCCTCCTCAGCGTCGTCTTGGGCGCGCTTTCCAACCCAGACACCGTGCCAGGGGCGGAGCACGGGGATGAGGGGCACCTGCCCACGGAAGCGCTCCGTGCACACGGCCAGCACGCCGTTGTCCCGCTCCAGCACCGTGTCAAACAGATGGTCCGACAGCAGGTGCACGCCATCCTGGCGGAACCACAGCTTGCAGCCCAGGTCGTACAGGCGAGACAGCATGCGCGACACGGGCTTGTGCTGCAGCAAACAGCACATCACCACGAGTATGAAGAGGCGGGGAGTGTGCGCGTGTATGCGTGTGCATGCATGTACAGGGAATGGGGAGGGAGGAAGGTGGACGTGAGCTCAAACATCAACGTGCAAATGCACGAGTAACACAACACAACACAGAGACCAACTAAAACACACACACACACACACACAGACACACGCACACACACGCAGTCACACAGACACGCAGTCACACACACACACACACACAGACACACAGACACGCAGTTACATACAAATCGATACACATCACACACGCCACAGCACCTGGTGGTGGGCTGGCCCTGCTTGGAAAAAGTCTGCGACGCCAATGGCGCCGTCCGGGTGGAGGAGGCGGGCGGCCTGCTGCAGTGCAGCCGTCTTGTTTGGAATCATCGACAGCGAGTAGCTGAACGTCACTGCATTGTTGTTGCAAACAGAGAGACAGGCGTTGCCGAGTGCATGAGTGGTGAGACTTTTGTGTGTAAGTCGGGCTCCGCAGACGGCAGGGTGCGTGCGTGTGTGTGCGTGTGCGAAAACGCATAAACACGTGTGCGTGCACGACAAAGAAATATACGCACACAAGGCATGCACACGCACACAAGGTACGCACACGCACACGCACTCACAACGCCATGCGCTGTACCGAGATGTGCAGTGCCTGGCTTTGGGAGGGCCTGCTGCCCTGCTTCGGAGAGGTCGGTAAAGTCTGCAAGAACAAGCTCAACAATGTCAGAGAGACCAGCACGCTCGATGCGATGGCGGGCAACGTTCCTGGAAAATTAAAGTCAAGAAATACAAGGAGGTGAGAACATGGCAAGTGAACGCCATCAACAACACGAAGAGGGCAGGATAGGAGAGTAAGGAATGCAAGCACACACACACACACACACACAAGCACACACACACAACCACATGCCCGCTCGGTTCACAGGCTCACAGGAGGCTGGCTGAGATGTCAAGGATGTAGATCTTTGCAAAGCGGCGGCGGAGGGTGTCGACAGGGAAAAACTCGAGGTTGCGGGCAGTACCGGCACCAACGTCAATCCACACCAACTTCTCATCGCTCTTGAGCGGCAGCGATGTCGCCAGCGCCTTGCGCGCATGCAGGAAATTCTCGCGAAACGCGTCGTATGCCCTGTCGCACGCATTCGTGCGTTTGTGTGTTTGTGTGTGTGTGTGTGTGTGTGTGTGTGTGTGTGTATGTGTATGTGTGTGTGTGTGTGTGCGCGGTCGTGCTGTGAGGAAAATAGGAAGGTGTCAGCTGCGCACACGTCTCACCCATACACACACCCACACACCCACACCCACGCAGCGGCAGCCGGTCGCACTTTGCCTGGGACTGGTAGAAGGCCTCAATCTTGTGGGCGTGTCTGTTGCGGGAGAGGTCATCGGCGGCAACACCAGAGAGGCACTGGGCCTTGCTCATACCGGACCGAAATGCCTGCAGCACAGGGAAGCTAACGATGCGCAGCCCCGTCAGCAGTTGGTCCACCTGAGCGCAACGTGACAGCGGAGACAAGGGGAACGAGAAGAGGTCGCTATTAGCTGTCGATAACAACAAAAGGAGCGTGCAGCTACAGTGCGGCCAGAAACAGCAGTAACAGCAAGAACAAGAACCTAAACGAGTACAAGAGCAGCAGCAACAAGAGCAGCAGCAACAGCAACAACAGCAACAACAACAAGTACAACAGCAGCAGCAGCAGCAGCAGCAGCAGCAACAACAACAACAACAACAACAACAACAACAACAACAACAACAACAACCAGCCAAGCCCTCCCTCCCCACATATGGCACGGCTGCTCACCAGGCTGAACGGCGGCTGCGGGCTCCAGAAGAGGCCAGGCGTGATGTCCTCGGGGTGAACGCCGCATGTCTTCTTCTCCGCGACCCACACTCCCCAGTACATGCCCGTGCGGTCCCTGCTTCCGTCATCAACACGCGTGCTGTCCATCCACTTGAGGGCTGCGCGGTGCGGCGTGTCGCTGAACGAGCGCCAGAGAATGCGGCCGCGATCGTCGTCAAGCAGCGGCCACAGCAGCGCAAGCTCCTCATTCACCCCTGCACGCACACACACACACACACAGCGGATGGGATAGGGGATGTGAACAGGTATGTTGTGCGTGTTTGTGTGTGCGTCGTGTGTCTCTGTGTGTATGTGTGTATTTTGTGTACGTAAGATGTGTTTGTGTGTATGAGTGTACGTGTATTTGCTTGTGCATGTTTGCGAATGGCATGAATGTGTGTGAATACAAGTCATATGGGAGCGCACCTGCGTCGTCCATCCAGTCGAGATGGTCCAGCATGATAGCTGCGGTGTATGTGGGCGGGACAACTTGCCTCATGTCGTCGCGGTAGCGGTCGGCAAGCGTGCCGTGATACAGGTCAAGCCGGTTTTGCCGGATGTACCGCTTCAACTTGCCAAAGTGCTCCTCCTGCGAAAGCAAGAGCAACATGCGTGGAGGTTGGGGAGAGGGGGGGGGGGGTTAAGGAACAGTGGGGGTGCCGAGGGGCAAGGTGGATGCAAGAACTGGATAAGGCTGCACGCACGGACGGCAGGGTACAGCAAAGCTGTGGCATTTACACAACAGCGCAAACACCCACCCACACCCACACGCACACGCACACACACCCACACGCACATACGCACACACAGCCACACACACACCCACACCCACACACCCACACACCCACAAGAAGTGCACACCCCGCAGTGCAGACCTTGAGGTAGCGCGGGCAGCAGGTGCGGGTGTATTTGCCAAGGATGTAGCCGAGGAAAAAGTAGTTGTCGTTGACAACATCCGTGTGCAGGAACACGCGCTCCATAATGGTGTGCACATTTCCCTCGCGGTGGTCACCAAGGCCAAGTTGCGCTGCGGAGAAGGAGGCGGTGGAAACGAGGTGGGGGGAGGGGGTAGGATGGCATATGCAGGCGGTACCAGAAAGCAGAAGTAAGCGAGTGATGAGTAATGCAATGAATAACAAGTGAAAGGCACGCACGCACACACACACACACACACACACACACATAGAGGCACACATATAAAGCGTGCACACAAGCACAAACGCACAAACGCACGCACACACGCACACACACGCACGCACACACACACACACACACACACAGATACACACATCCGCCCCCCCCCACACGTGCACACACGCGCGCGAATACCTGCGGGGACGCCAGCGAGCGGTGCGCAGATGGGGACGAGGACGCTGTCTGCAACCCAAGCGATAAACTCCAGTCGCTTTGCGTGCTGCTGCGCTTTCCGGCGGAACGTGGCCTGGTCGACACCTGTCGTCGTGTGATGTGATGGTATTGAAGGGCGTGTCAGTGCAGGGCTGACTGGTCATGACACGCTCTTACCACACACACAAAAAAAACACCAGCAAAGGCAGGTGCACGGACTCTTCTTGTTGTGCATACGCACATTGTACACACAGACATGCATACACACGGAGATTCACACACGCAGACACATACACAGATACATATACCCCCTCCCACACCCACCGTCGAGGAGAGCCTTGCGGACCCAGCCCATGCCAATGACGGGGAAGAGGACGCGGAAGAGCATAAACGCCAGCCAGCCAGAGGACCCGGAATACATGAACCCGCCAAACCTACACACACACACACACACACACACACACACACACACACACACACACACACACACACACACACACACACACAACGAGTGGAGAGGGGGGCGTCAGTACAAAGGGGTTGGGTGCACGCCGCGAACCGTCGCCAGCATTCACACTCTGTATCGACAACACCACATGTCTGCGCCCCTCTGCATTCCTTGGAAACCACTCACACACCTCCGGCACATGGTTGCCGAACGCTACACAAACGTACCCGCGGCGAAGCGTGCGCTCCCAAAAGCGAAGAGAGTGGGGACCAAGGTGGCGCTTGAGATGCGCGAATTTGCTGTGTGTGGGCGATGGTGACGGCAGGAGGCGGTGATGTGAGGACTGAGCTGCACACATGGGGCGTGCTACATTGTCACACACATACGCACGCACACACACACACACACACACGCACGCGCACACACACACACACGACCATCAGCATGGCACACTGAACAAACTCACGCCTTGAGAAGCTTGATGTCCTGCTCTGCGAAGATGGCGAAGAAGTCTTCAAAGCCAAGCTCAAGGATGGCGGCCTTCTTGAGCTCGCACAGGGCCAGCTGGCACTCGTTCAGGTCAACAGCCGTCACACGCGCCCCGTCAATGATGAAGTCGAGCACATTGTCACCTGTTGGCCCAAACGTGGTGCAGATGTGAGGAGAAGTGCAACGGAAGGTTGAAGGGGGGAAAGGAGGTGCGTTAGTGTCAGTGTGGATGTGGATGTGAATCCTGCTGTGCGCAGTGCTATGCATTAGGATGTGTGTGTGTGTGTGTGCGTGTGTGTGTACGTGCGTGCATGCGAGTCGCGCACTATGTGCAGTTATTATTATGTGCAAGCGTGCATGGTTCTGGTGGTGGTTGATGAGGCTGGTGGGCGTACATGCGGAGGCGATGGTGATGACGTGGTCGTCCTCGGTGAGGTTGAGGGCCTCCCTGTCGACGCGCGGGTCTTCCCAGGAGACGTTGTAGAGGTAGTGGAAGCCGACAATGCGGGAGAGGATGGCGTCGTGGATGTGGGAGAAGAACCAGAGGAAGATACCGGCGAAGAACCAGATGGTGGCGGTGACGCTGGCGGTGAGGATATCGACGCCAACATAGAAGAGCAGCTGGAGCAAGGAGAGAGCCTTCTCCCTCTTGGATCCGGAGTTGAGACGGGCGCGCTGCCGCTGCAGGAAGTTCTTGCTGCGATGCAGGCCCATGGTGCGACGGCGCCGCCGAACAGCGCCCTTCCCCAATCGCATCGACGAAGATGCCGTGGTGGCGGTGGAGGACGCGGCCGTGGCCCCGTTCGCCTTGCCACCGTTGACGTGGCTGGCGCTGTTCTTCTCAACCATTTCGTGCCTGGCTGGCCGTTGGTTGGTTGGCAGTGACGATTCAAGCAAGAGGGAGAGAGAGTAGACAGGCAGACGGTAGTAGCTGCTGTTGTTGTGTCTCAAAGTCAGTGCTGGTGTGAATGAGTGAGTGTCAACGTGGAGGGTGACAAGCAGAGGCGCAAATCAGTGGTTGGCCGTTGCACAAGACACCACCACCAGGTGCGCCAAAAATACGGACGACGCACACACACACGTGGCGCAGGCGTGTCAGCACTGCACTACTGTTTGTCGTGTTCATTCCTCGTTGTGGTGGTGGGGTGGGAGTGCTCCTCACCTCTCTGCCACACACACACTGTCTGTCTGTCTGTCCGTGTGTCTGCTGCGACTCTCTCTTTGTCTGTCTGTCTGTGTTTGAGCAGCCTCATCTCATATCACGCAGTCTTGTGTATTGTTTAAAAGGGGCGAGTCATCATCACACGAGAGCGGCAACAGCAGAAGCAGCAGCAGCGGCGTTGTGGGTTATGTTAGAAGTTTTCCTCCTCCTCGCCGCCTTCTGCACGTTCATATGTGTCGTCGTCATCCTCAAAGTAGCTCGCCAAGTAATCACCACCCTGGCATGTGCACGTGCGTGTGGATGTGAGTCATGAGCGAAGGGGAGGGGGGCAGTGAGGCGCACGCACAGCCAGATAAGATAGACGGACAAGACAGAGGTGGCAAGCAACACAAAAAAGAACCAGGGAAGCATGTGAAGTTACTCTCACACACTACACGCGCACACAGACAGACAGACAGACAGACAGACACACACACAGACACACAAACACACAATATACACAGCACACACAAAGGTCGACGGGCCACCGACCTCTTCCTCTTGCTCTTCGTCGTATTCCTCCTCGGGCCGCGGCTGCCCTTCATCTTCGTCTTCATCCTCGTCGTCGTCCGGCCCGCCGTTTCGCTGTTGGTGTCGCATACAGGACCAGGGAACAGCGGAAAGCAAGAAGACGGTTGCGGAGGTGCGCGTACACGTGAGTGAGTTGGGTGAGTAAGAGTGTGAATGTGTGTGAGTTGGGCGAGAGTGTGTGAGCGACGGTGTTGTGATAACACAGGCAATGACTAGGTCTCAAACAGAAGAAACTTGGAGAGAAGCCATCTAACGAAACAGTTCAGAGAGCCACACGCAGGGACACACCGATAATCTTTGCAGGTCTCCCCCAAATGTCTTTGTCTTCTTTCGTTTCGGTGGCCGAGCCATCAGCTCTGTTGGCATGGGCCATCCTGTGCGTGAGTGAGTGAGTGAGTGTGTGTGTATGTGTGTGTGTGTGTGTGAGTGAGTGAGTGAGTGAGTGGGTGAGCGAGTGAGTGAGTGTGTGCGTGTGTGTGTGTGTTGCTGGTGAGTGCGATACAGTACTGCAGGAGACATTGATGATGCTGGCAAAAAGGAGAACACATTGTCGTGTTGAAATGTGCTGTGGAGTCGTGTCAACAAACAAAGGGTGCAAGAGAGCAAACGACAGCGACACACACACACACACACACACACACACACACACACACACACACACACACACACACACACACACGGCGACACACACGCGCACACACGCGCACACACACACATCTACAGACAAATACACAACACAGACACGCGTGTGCGCACCAAGGTCCCATGCAACGTCGGAGCTGCTGCCGGTCTTGGCAGACGCTTGGCTCACGAGGCTGTCAGAGTACCGCACCACCCCTTGAATGGTTGAATGCATGCAGAAGCAAAGCACAACAAAAGAGATGGGGAGGGGGAGGTGGGATGAAGACAGAACATGGGCATGGCTTTCAATGAAGTGAACGGGACAGGCAAGCAGCCAGCAAGCAAGCATTCATGCGCGACCAGCATGTGCAGAGCCCAACACCATGACAAACAGGGCAGGCCAGTGCTTGCTCTGCGACGACACCCAACGTACAGTGGCGCTCTGCGGATTCCTTGAGATAATATGGAAGCTGCTTCACAGTCTGATCAAAGTGTCTGAACCACAATAACAATGAGCAGGTGCGTGCGTGAGCAAACACGTCATTCCATTCAAAGGTTGATGCCAGCGGTAAAATCCATGACTTGTGCATGTGTGCGTGAATGCGCGCACGCGTGTGTGTTGTCCACACCCGTGTCAGCTGCACATTGCATTGCCTACCTCTTGTAGTTGAGAATCTCATCGGCGGGGATGTCTGTGGGCAAGTCTTCGTTCACCTTTGTCTCGATTTGCTGTACCATGTGTGCGCGTGCGTGCGTGCGTGCGCGCGTGTTGGCGTGCGTGTGTGGGCGTGAGAGGTGGTGCAGGCCAAACGCCTGGTGAGTCAAGCCAAGCCAAGCCAATCCAAGCATGTGGCATGCGTGCAAACACGCACACACACACACACATATGCAAGCATGGAGCAGCGTACAGGGTAGAGGGCGATGGGCTCCCTCTTGGGTTCGGGCTGTTGCGGCTTTGCAGCCGATGCCCTGGCTCGACGCGGCGGCATCCCGCAACCCAATTCGTGCGACGTGAACAGATGAGAGGTGCTGCAAGCACACGTGCGACACCAGTGAAGCAGCGAGAGGAGACGTGGAAGTGAGAGAAAGAGAGAGAGAGAGAGAGAGATGGGCGGCCAGACGCACTGAGAAGAAGAGGAGCAGTGATTGGTTGATTAATGTCTGGTGGCTGGGAGTCGTATGGGGTGTTGTGTGCAAACACCATAAATTACACACACACACAGAGGAGGAATCGTTCGCGATGGAGATGATGATGGGGGCAAGCGAGCAGCGGCGACGGAATCAGAGCAAGCGGAAGAAGAAGAAGAAGCTGGTGGTGGGCGAACATGGCCTGACGACCACGCCAGCCAGCACAGGCAGCGCAAGCGCCAGTGCAAGCGCCAGCACAGCTGCCACGCCAGCGGTGGGGCAAGAGGCAAAGGGCAGCAGTGGCAGCAGCAAGGCGAGTTCCAGCAAGAAGCAGCGTGGCAAGCCCAAGCAGCTGCTCAGTTTCAACGAAGAGGAGGAGGCGGACACGCACTTTGTCATCAAGAAGGACCGCAGGCGCCGCAAGACGGCAGACGTGCCACTGGACCAACCCATCTCCGCCGCGAAGCCCGCATTCTCCTCCACATACACCCCAGATGACCTCAAGAAGCTGCGTGCCAAGTGCGTGTGATTGAGCGTGTGATTGTGTCTGTGATCGGTGTGCTTGTGTGTGTGCATGTGATTGTGTGTGATTGGGTGAATGCTAGCTGTGGCAGTGTCGGTTGTCACGGCGCACCATGCTCTGCTTACGCTTCCACCCACACCCTCACCCGTACATCCACACCTGGGTCACTGCTCCACTCACGCCCCGCTCCGCTCTCTTTCTCCCTCTCTGTCTCTATGTGTCGTGCACGTGGATTTCAAGTCAATCGTTCACACCCGGGTCATTCCGGGAGCAGGGCAGCCTTGACGAGTCCGTGGGTGTGCCCGGTGACGATGACAGCGAGGAGCGAGGTGCAGATGGCAGCTTCATCCAGAGCGCTCCCCTGAGCGGCACAGGCCTCGACGCAAGCATGCCGCCTGAAGACGTGGTGAGTTGGCAGTCGCCGTTTTGTCCGTGTGGGCGTGCGCGTGTGTATGTGCTGGCTGCTGCATGTTACCTTTGGTCCACTTATCAGCCCTCCTTCCAACATTTTTTATCGCTCCTATCGTCATCTCATGTCATGTACTGGCCCCACCCACCACTCCACGCCTCTGTAACACATGCAGGCCAAGTTTGCGCGGCAGCGGCGGCAGATGCTGCGGGACCAGCAGGAGTACATCCCCCTTGACGACGATCACCACGATGCCAGCGCGTGAGTTGCCTCAATTGCATACCAGATCTGTCTTGAACAAGTGGTCGACGCATGACACTGCGCGCTCTCCACGCTCGCAATTGTCCTCGCACCAATTCACACACTCACACTCATCACACACACACACACACACACACTCATCACACACACACACACACACACACGCATCACACGTGCTTACGTACAGGGTGGAGCGGCGTGTGCGTCCTGCCCAGCAACGGCTCGTTCGCGATGACGATGATGATGATGATGACGATGGCGGTGACGCTGTGGCTGGCGGTCGTCGGTCGCACGCGCTCTCGTTCGATGCAGCGGCGCGACGCATCTCAAAGCAGGACAAGCTCAAACAGGTACGGACATTTGCGTGCGTGAGTGCGTGTGTGTGAGTGCGTGTGTGTGAGTGCGTGTGAGTGGGTGTGTGTGGGTGTGTGTGTGAGTGTGTTTGGGACCAGCAGAAGGACGACTGTGAGCGATTGTATCGCGGTGTGTGCGAGCGCGTGTTCCGTGTGTGTGTATGTGTGTGTGTGTATGTGTGTCCTCACCTCTCTCAATAGGCCTCACCACGAACACCTGTGCTCTTCCCTCGGTCGCTGCCCCGTGCTGCCATAGATGCATCGCGCGTTCTTTGAGGCGGAGACGAGCGAAGCAGATGAGGAGGTACAGCGGTGGGAGCAGGACGCCCTCAAGCGCGCAGCCACCGTCAACGTCGTCAGCGTACGCGTGTTGTTCGGACTGAGGCGTGTCTATGCACACGTGGTTGTAGCTGTTGTTGATACTGCAGACATGTGTCCGACGATCATGCTTCCTGCTTTCTGTGTCCACATCGTTCACCTCACACACACACACACGCGCACGCACACACACACACACACGCACGCAATAAAACACACACACACACACACGCGCACGCACACACACACACACACGCACGCAA